CACACACACACACACACACACACACACACACTTCTTAAATCATCGCCTGTGCAGTTTTTTGTCTCTGCTTTTTAAACTAAAGTGTGCCCTCTGGTGGTCGGAGGCTGCCTGTGTTCACAGCAGTGTGATGACTCAGAATCAGAATCTGTAAATCAGAGGTGAGGACTTCAGTGTTGTGACTCGGACTCGAGTCAGCTTCAAGTCACATGTGGTATGTTTCTGGGAGGGGAGGAGCTCACTTTGGTGAACGAGTTCAGGTACCTGGGGGTCATCCTGGACTCGACACTCTCATTCAAGAAACACATCAAAAAAAGTGTCTAACTCTGTCAAATACAACCTGGCTGATTTCAGACAGATCAGGAATCCTCTAACTACCAGTGCAGCTTTGATGTTTTTACATTGTATGATCCTCTCACATATAGACTGCTGCTTAACGAGCTGGTCTCTGGCATGTACAACAGCACTTAAACCAATAGAATCTCTCTACAAGAAAGCCCTAAAGACCCTTCTCCTTCCATATCTGCAAGACCCTCAAAAATCATATTTTTTTTTACGTTTCCATGAATTAAAAACCTTTAGATTTGCCTGCTTTGTGTATAAAAGTCTCCATGGTCTTGCTCCACCGCCACTGAACAACTTTATTAGGAAAAGGACTGTGGGAGGTATGAGCACCAGGACCTGTGTTAGAGGGGAATGTATGATAAATTGTCTTGTGTTTGTTGTCTCCTCCATTTGTATTTTATCTATCTATCTATCTATCTATCTATCTATCTATCTATCTATCTATCTATCTATTTATTTATTTATTTATTTATTTATTTATTTATTAGGGACTACGGATGCAATTTAGCAGCTTTGCTACAGTCCAGCATGTTTACAGAGATGTATGATCGATGTTCATTAATGTGCACTGTCCCTGTCCAAATAAAGAGAGAATGAATGAATGATTAATAACTTAAGACTTGACCTGACACAAAAGAAGACTTGGACGTTAACACCAATGACTCGTGACTTCACTCAGACTCGAGCCTTTTGACCTGAAAACACTTCCTCTGAGCCTGAAGATTAAACCGTATATGTTGTGTGAAAACTGTGACACAACTCAGTTAAATTCTAAAATTATTAGTGTTTGAATTCCTTGAAAATCATCGCTTGTTTTCATGTTTTGCAGGATGAAACCTTGTAATTCTGTTGGTAGATTGTTGGTTCATTATTTTCATTTTTCACTTCTGTGTAAAGATTTGTTGATTGTGATGATTAGTTACTCTATAGATCTCTGAAGTGTGCACAGTGTGACATTGTTTATTTGTCACTGTCTGTTATGAATGAATAATAAATGTAGAAAGTGAATGTGTAGCAGCTGTCAGGTGTGTATTAAGCTAGACATACTCATTACTGTGAACACATGTTCTGTATGTACTGAAGCCTCGAGCTCAAGAAACCCTCTGGTGGTGGCAGAGAGAAACCTCCCAGTAGGGTGCACTTTGTACATGTGAAAAGTTTTGGGGATGCCCCTGCGAAACGTCTGTTCACTGATCTGCAGAGTAACTGAAGCTGTCAGATAAATGCAGTGGAGTAAAACGTTCAGTGTGTGCTTCCAACATGTAGTGTAGTAGTATATATATTCAGGTAAAGTACAAGTAACTCAAAAGTACTTGAGTAAATGTACTCAGTGAGTTTCCACCACTGGGACAAGATTCAGGACTTGTCGTTTTAATCTGAGCAGACGATGAAGAAATGTTTTACGTTGTATCCCACAGCAGAGAGGAAGGAAGAGGAGGTGACACATGCTGCAGCTGTAAACCGCACACTAACTCCCCACTACTGTGTGCATGTGCCTTGCACTGAGTGGGCGAGGGCAATAGTCATTTTCACCCAAACCCCACAGGTGTTGACCTTTTTCGCTCTGAATTTCTATGAAAATAACTCAAATTTAAAACCTCAACCGCAGCTTTACATTGCCTGGAGGTTTCAGAGCAAAGAGACTCAGACAAAAACATTTTTCCATCATTACATCATCACACACAGACAGACAGACGTTCATCTGGAGGTGCACTCGGTCGAGGCGGGACGTCCCCTGTTGGCTCACAATAGATATTTGACGGAATTAGGAATTAAAATTTTCCACCCAGTCCTTTAAAAACAAAAGTCATTTTATCTGCACGATCTGTACCTTGTTCACCTCACCAGCCCACAGCACAGATCACTATCTCAGCCTGTCAGGTGATCTGTGGCTCAGGACCAGAGACACAGCGGCA